TGTGTGTGTGTGTGTGTGTGTGTGTGTGTGTGTGTGTGTGTGTGTGTGTGTGTGTCTCAGCCAATGTTTTCATCTGTGTGTGTTTGATTGTTAGTTCGCAGCGTTATGCAAAAACAACCAGATGATTACAAAAACATGGGGGTGGATCAAGGAATTTTTTTCTCTTTCCTAAACATTGCGAGATGTTTTTCAACATTTTATTCTCAGGAAATGATTTATAGATCTTATTGAACAAACCAGGCATCTTTAGGAGACTGGTATTTATGAGTGTGAGCAGTGTGGTGCAGATCAAAATACATACATCTTAAATTTGAATGTGGTTTCATAAGGGGACTGCTGGCCTTGGCAGGGGTAGCACTCTCTTCTAGTTTAAATTTGAGACCTTTGGAGTGAGGACATTTTAGCCTGTCTTCACTTTCTGATTCACTCTCATAGGAATGTTCTAGGGTAGACACTTGGTTTTAGTGTTATAGGATTAGATTTTGCTCAGTGTTAAGGTTGGAACTGTGACATTTGGTTGAAAGAGATGAAAGAGGGAATGCATTATTAGTGATTGTCCCCACAAAGACAGAAGCACAAATGTCTGTGTGTGTATGTGTGTGTAAGTGTGTACGTGTGTGTGTGTTTGTGTGTGTGTGTGTGTGAGAGAGAAAGAGAGAGTGTAAAAATAAAACTACAAGGTCAAGAGCTCATCGATTATGTTTTTATGAGTCTGTTCTTCACACCACCCTTCCTTCCATGTTTGTATTTCTCTGTGTGTGTTTGTGTGTGTGTGTGTGTGTGTGTGTGTGTGTGTGTGTGGCAACAGAGTGAGGGAGCACACTAGTGTTTATTCCTCACTCTAAAGTCATGTGGACAGTGTGCACCATTAATGAATGTAAAGGCAACAGCTTGTTTTTGTGACTGGTTATCGTGGATAATTGCGGATGTAACGATGAATAATGCAGCATGACGGACAACCTCCAGTAAATAATGCAGATGTGTTACCTTGTACCATATGTGAAGAGTTTGAGCCTTTCTGCTTATGTGCTTAACCCAAACACAGCAGCACAGTAGAGACACCCATCTCCGGGAAGGTTTGTAGAAACCAGAGTGCTGATGAAGGGTTTCTCTGACTTTCTGTAGAGACTTAAAAGCCTTATATCAGTGGGATAATGTTATCTACTGATTCATCCTCACAACCACACACCCTGTGGAGGTTTAACACCGTCCGTGTGACAATCTTAGCACAAACTACCTGGACGGTAGGTTTGTGATGAACGCTGCTCTCACCTGAAGTTTGTTTAACTCACATTTTTTTTTTCCGGCTTTCAAAGAAAACTCCGAACTCTGAAAGAAACATTTTCAGCAAAACATTTTTTTCCCTTCAAAAATTCCATCTGGTGATTTCCACATATTTCATTATTCCATGCAAATGTGTTTTCACAAAACTCGGAGGCTGCGGGGTATCTCATGAATAACATGAGGCTCCACATAACACTTGTCCCATGTGACTAAGGCCTTGGAATCGTGTGAGAGAACGCTACTGTGTTGTTTTGCTGTTCCCTGTGTGCATGTGTGCGTGCCTCTTTCCTATTTTTAGAGGTACAGTTCATATAAAATAAATATACCATTGTTTTTCTTTGTGTGTGTTTCTAACACAGGGAGGATGCGGAGGCTCCCAAGGCCAAGCTGGTGAAGCCAAACTCCCTGTCCTCGTCCCGCTCCGGCAGCTCACGCTCCGGGGCCTCTTCCACCCAGTCCATGGTGCACAACAGCGCCCAGCGTGGTCACCGCCCCCGCCCTCCTGCTGTAGCAGCTCTCAAGGAGAATGGGCAGCCTCCAGGCTTCCCCCAGTCCCCACCAGCCTACACTACAGTGGTGCCCCCCAAGAACCCCGAGCCCCCTACCACTCCCAAATTCAACTCCAGGAACATGTCGGGGCCCACACCCCCAACCCTCATGGTCCCCGCCCAGACCAAGGCCTTTCAGACTGTGTAGGACTGAGAGCCAAGCCCTTACTGCAGCCATGTGAGACCCCTTCCCCATCCCTGCCCAAGCCCCCCTCACCCCTTCCTAAAGACTCTCCCATAAACACAGAAATGCAACTAGTTAAAAGGATGTAATTAAAAGAATCAATACTATAAAGTCAAAAAGAACTTTTAATGAATGCATACTTAAAAAGGGAAAATACGACATGCTTGCCCCCTACTGAATTACATAAAACAACAAAACAGAAGAAAAAACAAGACCCGAGATGCAACTGTTTGTGTCTCTATGGCTGAAGGCAGAACTTATTTTGTGAGTTCTTTCTTTTGGCTGTGGGAGGCACAGGGAAGCACTGTGTGCAGAGAGGTGGAAGAAGCCCCCTCGTAGAGCTTTTATTTATTTATCGAATCAAAGGGTTGGGCATACAGAGGAGAGGAAGAGAGAAGGAGAGAAGGCTGGATAATAAGGTAGATCAGAACTCTGAGCCAATGGAGTCATACAGCATGTTGAGCTTCACTTGTCAACAAATGCAAGATGGAGAGGAAAACAGAGGAAGAAAACGGACATCGGACTGCCACAGATTTTTTTTCCTCTGTGGGAGGAGGGGGCTGGGGGAGGCATGCGGCGATTCTGTGATTCATGTCACCCCGCACCTCCGACTCACTGCTTCCAGCACCTGCTCTGAAACCACAAACCTCTCCGCCTCCCATGGGCCGGGCCGATTGTGCCCATCCATGTGGACAGACACAGTGCGTGGCATGTGCATCATCTGCCTCAGTGCTCTCGGTCTTTTTCGTGCGCTCATAAAGAACCTGCCAGATACCACAGCGGCCCCGAGACTGACTCAGCCGGCTCGCAAACAGCTCATCTGCTTTACCAATCAGCAGGGGGAGACTTCAGGTACACGGATGTAGCACTGGCAGTGGAGTCCAAGTCCAATGGAGTTTGTAACCCCCTCCCACATCCTGTCTACATCAATGGACTTCCTTTTTCTGGTACTGAATATACTCCCTGAATTTAAATAGTATATATTAGGCCTATAGCAAGTCATTTAAATATAGGGGATAAGCATCTAGTAGCCAAGCTGGACTTGTTTTTCTTTTTTCTTTCGGGTTTCCTGTGTCTCTTCTCGTTGAACAGGTTGTAAAGGGTGACAGACAGCCATGTGTCCATTCATCCATTTGAAGAAGTGCCACCAATCCCTAGGATGGGTTATTATCATTGCTTTTCTTTTTTTTTTACTCTTACTACATTTCTGAAGTGAAACCAAAATCTGTTACCATGAATGTGTGATGTACAATGATGGTGGATCCCATTACATTCAGCCTCCTATAAGGTACTGAATCAATATTCGAGCTAAGGCACAAAGAATTGACCTCGACATTCAATTTTACAAAGTCTGAATGGATGGAACACGGAGTATGATTCTGGAGACTTAAATTGTGTCGGGCGTGTATGGTATCATTGTCAGTACTCTCCCTGGATCCATAACAATGGAGTGGCACTCGATTGCTGTCTCGCTGAATTACGGGGCCCTGCTTGGTTATTGGTTGAGCCGCGCTATCGGCCAACCCCCCCCTTTGTCATATCCTCCGACAGACCCAGTGCAGTTTGATTGAAAGTAGCTGAAAAAAGGGCAAGTAGCCTATCGAGTGTGCCTTTGCAATCCCTCTTCCTTTTGATGGTTTCTTTCTTCGTCCTTATCTTCAGCACACCAGTGGTTAAGTCTCTGGTCACATCCAGCTTCAAGGGTCAACAGCAGTGAATACCGAAAGATACAACTTCACAAACTCGCCCCAGTAATAAACAGACGCAGCCTTGGCAGCACAAGCAGAGTGAATTATCCGTGGTGAGAAAGCAATCCCGTGTCACGGGACAATGTAATGTATATTCTGTAATCAGTCTTGTTTTATATTGTACATACGGATAGGTATACGCACATGATGTCATTTAATTTAACAAATTAGGGTATTTGAGGGGAGATGTAGCCCTTACAAATGAGTCAAATGGGAAACCCAAAAGTGAATTTAAACCGTGTACTTTTACAGATGCTGTATTCTGAGTGAATTCATGTGAAACAAACATTATCACATGTATGGAGGTGTAGGAAAGTGAAGAAAAAAAGGCATCTTGCTCAGTCCAAAGGAAGACACTCGGTCTTTACGACTACACACCAAATTCTGTTGAGATGTTCCATGGATTTTATTGATCCTGTGGGAACTATTTCATTTGATTAAAGGGACCCGGTGACCTTTCTGGAGGCATTGCCGCTGGCTCAAGAATTTCCCTTGACCAGCATTTTGGTCAATAACGACTTATCTTTAAAAAGTCACTTCCAGATGACCACAGAATCTGCTGTGAGTATTTATAGTCGACACATGATGAATATTGTTCGGTGTAACCCTGACCTTTAACCTTGTATTCCATCCAGCTAAAATTTATGCACACGATATATCAAACCCAATAGGCAGATTGCCATGAAATGAAGTGAGCATGTTAATATTATCAATATAAAGTGTTTTTTATGTTAATGGTTCTATGACCCCTCCTCTCAGGACAAACTTAACTCCACTACTGGTTCTAATAATCAGTATGTCTAACACTTTAATATTATATCCTGTTATTAATGTTTCACTAGAGGGATTTTACTCTTGTTCCACTTTACAAATCTGAAAATAGTGAAACCATTCGATGAAAAGTGCTGAAAACCAACATCTGGCTGAAAAGCACATGTGGTTTGACTTTGACCTGTGGAATTTCACGTGACTTAACTGTAAGGGACGTTTTCTGGGGAAAAAATGCCTTTTATATACAACTAGAGGTAGCAGCTTATATATGACCAGGGAAGCTACTGGATGAGTGGGTCTGTGTGTGCGTGCTTGCGTGCATGCATGCATGTCTGTGAATGTGTGTGAATGTGTGTGTGTGGGTGTGTGCATGTAAATTCAGTATAAGCCCTTGGGCCACACCCACACATTCTCATGTTGGCCATTCAGTGAGTGAGAAGGATCCAGTCAGGCAAGGTAACCTCTGTCCAAATTGATATGACTGCAGACTGGCAGTGTTTACTTTCATTTTCATTGACTTACATGTCTACTGAACCTGGCGTCCCAGGCAGCAGTCGTGTTTTTGCTTGTGGGGGTGGCATCTTGAGACAAATCACGTCCATAATTCATAACTGTCGTCAGCTCTGGAGGCCACTTGTACGCTCCGTCTCTTCTCTAGCTGTCTCTTAACGTGTAATGCACTCGGCCATGGGTGTAATGATGGCATCTAAAGCCTCACGCACACGCACACACACACACACACACACACACAATACATACAGGTACACATGTACACATGGGTGCACATGGAAACACAGGCGTGTACTTCATGTCCACTCACAGATGCACACAGGCGCACACACATAAAAGCCCAAAATGCAATCCTAGTCATTTCTGCTCCTTTAGAATCAATTTGATGGATTGAATGTCCGGTGGTATTACGACTGACTGATGGAACCAGGATACAAAATGCAGCCTAGAAAGGGACACACTGCACACACACACATATATAAACAGTAACTGTAACAACACATACGTGCATGCCGACACACATGCACTCAGACGGACAGACACTGCTATGCATCTTAAAAATCTGGGTAGCATGTGATTCAAGACCTTTTTTTTCCTCCTGCAAGAGAAGCGCTGGGAATCAGAAGAGTTATAACAGGATTGATATTGAGCCAGGCCTGTGGGCTCCTGCCACTGAAGTTCCCCCCACCACAAACGAAAGTAGCGGTGGAGGTGGAGGATGGGATGCAAGTCTTCCAGCTGTTAAATTCCTCCAAGCTTTTTTTTGATTATTTTATTTCCAGCAGCAGCAAGTCTCAGGTGGCAGATTCCCCCGGTTTATGAGCCCTCGTGTTGCGTCCCTCCACTCGCTGACAGATCTGCGATCGCTCCAACAAATTCATTTTAAGGAGCTTTGGTCAGTTCAGTCGAGGGTGGAGGAGGAAAATCTTAACACACGACGAGTGTCAGCAGCACATCCAAAATCATCCTTGAAAACTGTATCCATCAGCACGATATAACGTCTTATTATCGACACTCAGCGGTGCAGTAAACATGAAATCGTTAATGGTTATCCTGCAGATATGATAGAAGTACGAATCTCACGTAGCCACAGGGTTTTATGTTCTATTAAGCAATTTTATTTCTGATTGAAGCTGTTGAGTGGGACAAAGCGACTCAGACTTTGTGGTTAATCCTTGTGTCTCGATATAAAGGAATGTGATGTATCATTACTTTTAAGAGAGGAGAGTCAACCCAGTGGAAGAAAGCAAAGGTACCTGCATGTCATAGAAGATTGAGCAGATGAACGGGAATGCTTTGCTTTGATGTAACATAACAGTATTAGGCTAAAAATAAAAAAAATTAAATCTACAATTGTAAATATACTCACAGAAAAATTTTATGAAGCTTTATTTTTGTCTTCATTCGTTTGATTTTTTTTTTTTCCATCCATGTACTTTGCACTTTTTTGTGTGCTATACACTCACCTCGGCCTGTTAGGGCTGCGTGTGGTTGGCTGTTTCTCTTGACCGCATTGTTTTGATGTCAGGGACAGACACGCTCAGTGCGGCGTTACAAAAGGGAAATATAATACACCTTTGTTTTCTGTACACTCATCTGTTTTTTCTGCCGTGGCTTCTTTTTTGGTTTTGTAAAAAAAAAAAACAGTACAGTTTTTTTTTTGTTGGTTTGATGAAAAACAATCCATGTAAATATCACAAGTAAAAAATGTATATTTTTACGACTTCTGAGTTATTACTCTTTCATTTGCAAATAAAATATTCAATGACAACTTAACTGGTTGCATGGCATCTTGATTTGGATTTTGTTTGGCTGATTAATTCAGTAAACCTTTCCTTGTTTCCTGATGTAAATCTGTGAATATATTTTAACTTCCCAATCTCCTATGTTCGTGCGGATGGATAAGGTCAGAGCCTGAATGCTAATAGTAAACTGACATTGTTGATTTGTATTTAAAAAACTAAATTCTGCATCAGCTCTCTGACTCTACTTGAATTAGACAGCTGCCAAAAACCCTGTCATTATTAAGATACTCACACAACTTTTTTATTACCGCCCAGGTAACATTTCAGACACAGGCCGTTTTGATGCTCTGTTAAACGTTCCCTTGGAGAACATTTAAAAAAATGATGGCTGTCTCAACTGGAGTGTGTCCATTTCTTGTCTTCTGGTTTCCATGGCTTCTGTACTGCGACTATGACTTTTATACACTTTATTAATAACCTTCCCTGAAAATGTATAAGTGGAACTGGAAAAAAGCCAACAGCAACGTTATAAATGCACCATTCAAAAGTCAACTCACAAGAAGCAATTCAAAACTAATTAGTAGGAAAAACCTTGCATGGAAAAGAAGGATAGATTTTATAATAGTCCCTAAATGCTCACGGATGCATTAAAACATTATTAGTTGTGATGGAGGTGTAGTAATGGTGAACGACTGAATGTTCCACATAATGGATGAGCGTAAGTTTCAAGACTCAGCAAGTTGACCTTCACAATGAAGAACCAAATCAATCTATAACCTGCGCCTGAGGAACGCTTTCAGAGTACGTCCTGTATATATACAGTCTGTATACATGTATATATACAGGCTGTATATATACAACTGGTGAGCAGCTTCCACAGGAATTAAACTTAGAACATCCCTAGCTTAAACATAAAGGGACACTGGTGTGGTTCTAAAGTATTCTATTACAAATACGGGCGTCACATTCTGCACAGTTGTTCTTACTCTAAGTCCATGATCCAGGATGGGCTGAAGATGACACATGGGGCGGGGGCGGGGGGGGCAGGCTGCTTCTTCTTCCTCTTCCTCTCGATCTCTCTTGATCTTTCAGCCCCTCAACGTGACACTCAGGCACGAGGCAACAAGGTCAGCATTTCTATTGACCTGTCAGCCTCTTATTGAGTGACATTCATCTCTTCCCTCTGAAAAGTTCTTATGTTGACGATCTATTGAACCGCCCAGATGGAGTGTGTGTGTGTGGCAACCCTGGTTAAAGAGACAGGGTGTGACTTTATGCTCGAGCTTCAAGGATGCTCGCGAAAGGTGCAAAAAAGAAGAAGTCCTCACAAAAGCAGCGTCCAAGCATGAGGAGATAACACCCCAGAGGAAAGGCTCATGAATGAGCCATGGGGGATCATGCAATTACCAGTGTGTTCTCTGATATCTGTTTGTTGAGGAGCTGGCTGCAGACTGCTATGCTAAATTTACATCTTTTCAAAACACGGCATCCATATTAAGCAAGATCAAATTTTCAAGGCCAGATCACATTTCTCCGCTCCTTGTTCCATGCCGCCGTGGTCATTGTTCACACATGATCAGCCATGTATGATGACACTGTCCTAAACCCATCGCACTGGCGCGCCCACGCACCTATAAATACATACATATGGTGTGTTGCATTTGATTCCAGCTCGGAGCATCAGACAACTAAAGATGATTGTTCCTAGTGTAACGGATGATATGTTTTTATTTATTTTTCATTATTATTCTACAACTGTTTTTTTTACAGCATACTGTGTCACAATTAGGAAAAGGAACACTCACACTTTTAGAAGACCAGATACAAAAAACGTCATCACACAGATATGGAAATCTTTTGGCTCTGAGCCGGCTTTGTAGCCTAATTAATAGGAAATGGTATTTTGCTCTCCGTCTCTCTCTGTAATCTGCAAAGTAAATACTTGTAGATTGCCACTTAAGGCCTTTGTAATTGAGGTTGCTTATATAATAGCATCCCCTGGTGTTGATTGGGGATAGTTCTCATGTTATCTGTTATGCCGAGAGGCTCCTAATGGGATGAGAGAAATCATAATTCACACATCACCAGTTGAGATTAGCTAATTAGAAACCTCTATAGTGTGACCTACAACATAAAATGAAAATGAACGTTACGGTCTGTTTCACTCGTCACTCTTTTTCAAACTCAGTTTTCTTTTTTATGTCTGTGAGGTCTGGACAGTATTTTCTTCTTTCTTGGAAATTGACCTTACCAGTAATCACCAGATCTAATTTCCTGTGTCCCCACAGATAACTAATCTAATCCCACCACAAACAAAAAAGATCATAGTAGCGATTGCACTGTGCGCTGTCGGCCTATATGGTTCATTGTAGGAACATAGCACTGATGTTGTTAGTGGTATTTCACTGAGTACAGGTACTACATGAGTGGCTTTGCTTAAAGCTCCCCCTGGTGGAACCTGACATGTGCACCAAGGGCAACACAGATGAGTGGGATAGGTGATAGTAGATCTATGATAACTAACTATTTATTTTTTAAACCTTTCAATAATCTCTGTATTCCACTCATCCAAAATCAACTACCTATAAAAATGGCTTCATAATTCATCATTTGAAAAGAGAGGCTGTGTTGTAGCAATCAGGAGATGGAGTCATGTTATCAGGGTCCCGTTGATACGTGCACTCCACTTACTGTGCAGAGTGTGACTCAGGTTTCATGTTTTTATAGCATCAAATAAGAAATTAAAACCAAACTTTCTCTAATGAGCACTGGACACAGCAGAATGACCTAAAAGGACAGAGGGGCTGTAAAGACACTTTTTGGAAGCTTCACGTCGTCCATCCTTGTATAAGTCTGTGATCTAAAAGCTCATCATCACTTAATTTAAAAAAAGAGAAGGTTGTAAAAGCCATGTATTTTAGCGCACCACTGACGGCAGTAAATTGGCTTCATTATTGAAAATCTCTGTGAATATCACTGTGGACCTTTGCTAGTGCTTTGTGAGTCCTTGCACTGATTATGACCGGGTGATGAAAATTACACTGTGACCCACATTTAAATTATATTCAACTCTCTGACAACTGCACTAATTATAGTGCTGCCATATATTTCTATTGAGGGGTTAATAGCATGCAATTTTTTGGAACTGATTCCCTGCTGATGATTCCAGTTTAAAAACAGCATATGGATGAGCTGTGGAAAGAATTATTCATTTGTTGAGGGCAAAACTGCAAAGTGATACTGTTCTATCTGACAGTGAAAATTATGATTAATGCACATCTGACATCACTGATAAATGTAAGCATCAATTAACTTTGTGATTCTCTGATCTTGGTAGATGAGCTTTGAAGTAAGTGCTGTGTGAGATGTGTCACCTTTCTCTGGTGCTAAACTGCCTGCTAACTCAAACTGTTCACAGGAAAGCTATTAGTGCATCTAATTGAAAAATTAATCAATTAATGACAGAGCTTTTTTTAAATGGAGCAAGCAAGTAAAATTAACTGGAGGCTAAATTAGTTATAAGTGATCCATAATTCTTTTAAACCACTCAGCTGAGGATTTCTCCTTCAGGCTCTGATACCTTGTACAACACACGTTCGTCTAAAATGTTGATCAAAATATGCTGTGAAATAAATTTGCATTATTTATATCTGATTTAAGTATTCAATTCAGGCAAACAATTGCTACTACTACTACTACTAACAATAATAATAATAATAATAATATTTTTTATGTACATGGCACTTTTCACAGCAGGTTACAAACAGAACATCTTAAACATGTTGATTTATATTTTAGCAGCTTCAAAAGTCCTGAAGGTAAATGAAGTGTGAGATGAGCTGCTGGAATCATGTCTGACACTGAGATAGACATAGACATCTCTGAGGTAGAAGGAGACATCTATGAGGTAGACGGAGACATCTATGAGGTAGACGGAGACATCTATGAGGTAGAAGGAGACATCTATGAGGACAGAGACAAACGTGTGTAGCTGTGAAGATGAACAGTGACTCAGCAGAATCCAGCTCAGTCCACTGACACACAGGTAAACAGAACCTCTACATGTGGTCCTACATGGACACACAGCACGTGGGCAGCTCGTCCCTCAGCTCAGACTGGAGGAGTGTGGACACTCCGTCCCTCCCGGGATAGACACCTCCATCGCGGGGGACTCATCTTCTCCTGCAGCCTCAGGAAAGACAGTAAGACTGATCTTACTGATTTTCACTCTTGAAGTTTGAAGGCGTTCAGGTAAAGTTATGGACGAAGGGATTCATTTTTGATCTGTCAGGAAATGCAGCTGAAGTCCAGCTCTCCATTTCCCCGGAGTGGAAAATAAACCACAGTGATCCACTTGTGCAGAGGGAGCCATGTTGTCTCTACATGTCAGAGACACCACAGCACACAGGCAGGGAGATGAACCCACTGTTAGCTTAGCCACCTGCTCAAGCTAGCAGGGTTAGCAGCTAGCAGCTACACACACAGGTACTCGCCTATAGTTTATCTTGTTTGTTAAAACATTAACGGAGCTAAAACATCTTACATGTGACTTTAACACCTTTTAACAGCTGTATGCTGAAGTTGCTCTCATGTGAGCTAGTTTGAATAAACCAGAAACACAGTTTCTATCTATTTAAGAACAATAGAAGGAGAATTAGCATGAAAATAGTCTTTCAATTAACTGTGCCAGAATATTTCAAAATGAAGTTTAAGTCATAGTTAAACTCTCGCTGTAAAATATGATTAATTATTAGTCTTTGAAAACAAGATGACCTTCTTCTATGTGCAGTTTTTCTCGACCATCATACATATATATAGATATGATCTCTCTCCCTCTCTCTCTCTCTCTATATATATATATATATATATATATATTTAAATAATGAATGATCAAGTCTTCAGAAGAAGCAGTACTTCCTGTTGTTTACTTGCCTGTCTGATAAATGTCCAAATAGTTTAAGATCAACACGAGTAGATGCAGTGTGCTGAATACTTACATTAACATACAGTCTG